TCTCCTACGTGCCAGGCACTGGGGAGATGGAGGCGAACACCCTGTTCCTGCCCTCAGGTTGCTCCCAGACAAGTAAGGCTCGGGTAAATGCAATACCTGCAGTAAATGCTATAGCTACAGTGTGGGTCACATGCTGTCATATGGGGGAGACTGTTTATTTCATGATGACAGGGACCTGCAAGGAAGTCTTCACAGATGGGCCGATGATAAAATGTTCTGAAATCTCAATCCGAAGGTGGAAAAGTACGCTGCAAATGTCAGACACTGAAGAGGCAAAGGCTGGAAGGTGTGACGCTGCATGGTGTTACGGGGAATTCTGAGCTATTGGTATATCCCATTTTCGGAGGATGGAGAGTGAGGTGGACATTGGCAAGACACAAGCGGTAGACAAGGGCAGGGATAATACTGGTTTTAATAATAACAGCAGATCTCAATGGAGTGTTTAGGTGGGGCAGGCCTATGTGCGGGTCTCAGGAGTTTGACGACAGCAACAGGACAGTTGTCCAACAGTAGGTTGTGTAGTAAGATCCCTGGCAGCGTGGAGGATGGATTGGAGCTGAAAGAAGGCGGAGAAAGGAAGACCAGTCAGGAGATGGATGTGATGCAAGAGTCCAGGTGATTTATGGACTGAACCAAGGCAGGGCCAATAGGAAAGGGAGTGTATCTGAGAAACATGTAGAGTCTCACATTGAAAGGTCTTGGCGATTGACTGAAGGGGGAGAGTGGGGGAGGTAGAGGAGTCAAGGGTACCTCCTGGTGCCGCCAGCGAAAACAGGGCTCATGGGGGCAGAAACGTTTATGAAACACTGTTGAGCACCTACTAGGAGGTTGCGCTACTCCAGTCACAGATGCGCAGAGACAAAGAGTTCATTTCCCTTGAAACTTCTTCAGGCTATTCAAAGACAAGCTTCATCTGTATATATAAACTCACATCCAAACAAGTTTGGGTGAATCACAGAACTTTTTTTCTTTTACCAAAAATCGCACTGTTTTCTCACCCTGGCCAGGTAGCTCAGTTGATTGTTGTGTGTCTTCTGTACCAAAAGCTTGCAGGTTCAATTCCTGATTAGGGAACATACCTAGGTTTTGGGGTCAATCCCTGGTAGGGGCAACCAATCAATGTTTCTATCTCACATCAATGTCCCCGCCCCTGTCTGTCTCTCTCCCTTCCTCTTGCTAAAAATCAATGAACATATCCTTTGGTGATTTTTTTTTAAAATGCGCCCTTTTCTCCCCTGTCACATTGGGATGGTTCAAGACAGCCCTGTTTGTCCGTGGGCAGGACTAGGGCAACCCATCTGGGGCCATTCCTGGAACGCTGACATTTGTGGCTGGAGGCTTCCCTGACAATCAAGTCTTCTTCCAGCTATCTCTGCCATTCAGCTTGGGTATTTTTCCCCCTGGGATAGATTTCCTCATAAAATGAATGTCTTGCCTGAATTAATCTTATTTTTAAAAGGAGAAAGTCATCATATTGTAAAGACAGATCATAAAAAGATGTATCAATCTGTCAGGAAAGCTGGTTAATATGAGGATTTGTTTAGTGGAAATGGCATGCCCTGAGGCATCCGGGCTGCAAGGCTGGGCAGGTGCTGGCCCTGGCCCGCTCTGTGTGCAAAATTTCCCCTCTGCGGTCCCTCTGGACCAGCCCCAGGCCAGGAGGAGGCCTTTTGTTTTAATATTTAGACCTTTAAAGGGTAGCTTTGTATATTGAGTAGCGATGCAGGAACAGCCTCACTTTTCGGGAGGGGCCCACAGCTGGAGGGGGGTTCCCATTGCCTCAGATGTGTCGGGAACACTTCCATTTGAGAGCTAATCAATATGAGGGAATTTTAGATGATAACTCAGACAATCTTTCCATTTTATTTTATTCTTTTAAAAATGTACACAGGCCATAATATAAGTATATAGATGAAAAAGTAAAATATGAGTAATACATGAAATATATAGTGCAAAAATTCTGTACTGTGAGACATTACATGAGAAATACATAAGCACATGAAACAGAAAGAGAAAACTGCTGAAGTCCCCCTTTACCTCCTCCAGCGCTGACCACCACGAACTGCGTGGCGTTCCTCCTTCTCACCCCCTTCCGATGCACTTCTACCTATTTATCCCATGCACGAGACACACACAGTTCATGTTCTGTTACACGGCTAGAATCATCTCAAAATTTGGTACTCTTTTTACTTAACATCCTATTTTGGGTTTGTATAAAAAATAAAGTTATACATGCAGTAAAACTAATACATGTTTATTACAAAAACTTCAAACTTAAAGAGGGGAAGAAAATAAAGATAAAAAAAAAACAAAACTATTTCCTTCCTTTCCCTCCATTCCCACTCTTTAAAGCAAGCAGATAAATACATGTTCCTGTGTGTCTTTGAAGACATGAGTATGCATATACTAGCCTTTAAACACATGTATCCATCATTTGTTCATGTTATAGATGAGGAAGTGAGAGCTCAGAGAGGTCACGGGCAGATCCAAGGTCACACAGCTGACTGGAGCAGAGGAAAACGTGAAGCCCAGTGCCCCCACTTCAGAGGGCAAAGACCTTTCCACTGAATGTCTGCGAGGCGTTTGTGCACAGCCGTCTGGGCTGATGTCTCTAATCCCTTCCTAACCTTGACCTGGTCTGCAGGGCAGTGACACTTCTCACTATTGCCCATGTCTCCCTCCCCTCGCAGGAATGGTGTAGGTTCTCGGTGTGTTAATGGACTTGTGCTGCACACCTGGAGACCTGCCTGCCCTTTTGTTTCACGAATGCCCACTGACTCTGTCAGAGCTGTCGTCACAGCAGACCTGAGTCTCAGAACCTGGTGAAGCGATTCACTCGGTGAGCTAGCGTTTGCACCTTCGTCTCCATATTACAAATGACAATTATATGCAAGAAGCCCTTCCCAAGGATAATTCCCTTTTAAGCAACCTTGTAGCTTGGTCGTAACTGATGTCTGCATTCAGCCTGTTGCCCCTCCCTTTGTGCTAGATTCGGGGCCCAGGTCTGACCCTGGGGAGCTCACAGCACCCATCCGCTGTCTGTCTGCAGTCGGCCTGTGCTCCTCTTCTCACTGTGTGTGTGTCAGCCTTGGTTCTCTTGGGCCCAGATGTATCTACAGCATTGCCAACATCTGGGTGAAAAGAGAAAAGTCAGCCAGCCATGCAGATGCATTTGACTCCTGCTGACAACAGGATGGTCCCATCTGGACATCTGGGAACCATCCGGGTGGACAGACCGAGTGATCTGCACACCTACATATTTGATCCTGCCACCTGTGATCATATGAGCTGGCAGAGCCTGGGCCTGCAAACTCTCCCCAGGTAGGCCCATCCTGACGTTGCAGATGGGCAGGAGCAAAGCCCAGAATCTGGTCACTAGGTGTGGGCACGCATGTGTGTGTGGTGTGTTAGAACAAGAGGCTGGCAGCTAGAGAAACTCTGATCTTGAAAATGAACTCTCTGACATCATAGTTGTGCCTGAGAGACATGTTGCCTTGAGCCAGGAGCTCTGGAGTGAGGTGCAGTCTTCTCTCGCCTGTTTTTTATTCAGGGCCACTCAGGAAGCAGCCTCCTTCCCAGCAAACGATTGTTCCTGAGATCCCTGATTCAGCATCGCCCTCCAGTGGGCAACTGGAATATGCCTGGAGAGAAAGCCTTTGGACACACTTGGTCACAAATCAAACACGTGGATTTTAGAATCTTGATTCTTTCCCTCTTCTCCCCAAGGGACTTCCAACCCAACCCATGGAAAAGAAAGGCACAATCTACAATCCTGTCGGGAAGTGCCTGATCCCAACCCCATGAAGGCAGCTTGGGGATGAGTGTTCTAGACTGTCACAGAAAAGACAGAACCTGGCAAGACTGGCTGCAAGGTTGAGGGTTCCCAGGAACCCTGGGGTTTACAGGGGCTTGTGGCAAGGGGCAGCTCATATCCGAGGAGTGAGGCCAGCCTTCCCACCCCTGTTCGCAGCCCAGGGCCTCTGCTCCCCAAAGTGTCTCCTAGGAGAGTTTTCGCATCTGTCGGCTCTGCCATCCACTCCTGCCCAGAGAGTGACAGATGCAAACAGAGGCTGGGATGCAGAGAAGGAGGGGGCCCTGATATAGCCAGAAGGTGCAAGGACCATGATAAAGAACCACACAGGGATGGAAGATGAATGCCCTGAGTGCTTACAGTGATGTCTCATTTCACTTCCAGTTGGGACTGGAGAGGTCATCAGTCCCATTATTCAGATGATGAAACAGACTCAGAGGGCTTGCCAGGGCCACACAGCTGGGGTGTGGCTGAGCTGATCTTCAGGTCTCAACCTGCTCGATTTCTGGCACACGGCCCTTCTGTGGCCCTGCAGACACACGGGCACTGTCCACATCCTATTTCTCAGTGAGTGAGGAGAGGGGGGCACTGACAGGCAGAGCAGAGGAGGGGCACTGAGGGACACTCCCAGGAGCAAGAGACAGAGACAGAGAGGGAGGGAGTGAGAGGAAAAGGGGCACAGATAGAGATGAGGGGAAGACAATGACACAGAGAAAGGTAAAAAAAAAATATGGTGCTTATCTCTCCCTACTGGGATAGATTTCAGAGAAAATATGCATTCCCAGTCTCATCCCAGATCTTCAAAATCAGAATCTCTGAGAGTGCAACCCAAGAATCAGCACCTAAAGAAATCTACTGAGTGGCAGAGTGTGCTTTGAAATGCATCACAAAGTAAGGTACACTGCTGGGTGGGCAGAGGGAGGGAGGGATAACATGTCATAAAGCAAATATAGCAAGATGTTCATTGAGGACTCTAGAAACTAGATAATACTGCTCACTGTACAATTCTCTTAATTTTCTGTATGTTTGAAAATTTTCACAGAACACCAAGGGAGAAAGTTCCCAAATGATCGTGATGATTCGGTGGGTCTAGGACCCCTGTTGTAGCGGGAGGCCCCCTTGGGGGACTTCTGGAGGAGCAGTTGCCCCAGGAGCCCCCTGCCCCAGCCCCTGGTGAGGGGAGTCCATCTGCCCCTTGGGGCCTCCCGCTTTGTGTGTGGAGCAGGATTCAGTGGCCGTCCAAGGCTGGGCCCTGTGGTGCCAGCACTGGTAGCAATGCCATCCAGCTGGCCGGCCGTGTGGACTGGGGCAGAGCCTGGAGAGGAGGGGCTAGAAGTTCTCTTGGAAGAATCTGAAGCTGAACCGCTCACAGTGGGCCCTGAGCACCTTGGCCAGGGCTGGGGAGCCGCAGAAGAAGACCTGCACCTTGCCCTTGTCCTCCGCAGCCACTTTCTGGAACACCTGGAGTGCACGGGGTTGGGGAAGAGCAGAGTGAGGAGAGGTGGGACCGTGGACCCACCCAGTGGCACACCCACCTAAAGTTGACGGTGTAATGAGTTGGCAGCGGCAGCGATGGCCGTCTGTCTCCATGAGGACCACCCACACTCAGCTGCTTCTCTTCAGAGCAGAAAGTCCAACATGCAGCCACTTGTCCAGGGGGCATTTGCTTCACCCATAACCTGACCCAGACCCCAGGGAGGGTGTGGGCCAGTAAAAGCACAAGACCCAGGCCCTCACCCAAGGAGCTATGTCTGTGGTGAACTGCGCAACACTCTAACTGCCGGGCTGGTGGACCAGGACGTGGCCAGCTGAACCCAACTGTCTGAACCTCAGGTGGCCCCCAGCTGGCCATGTGCCTCCTGTGAAACGTCTCTTCCCTAGTTAGGCATCCCCACCACCACTGTCGGGTCCCTTTTCCACCCCAAATTCTGCTTAAGAATCGCCTTTGTGGAAAGTCCTCTTGGGTGCCCAAGCTCCACCAGCATCCGTTCCCTTCCCAGCTCCCACCACCGGGGCCTGGGTTAACTACAGCAGTTTGAAAGCAGTATTCCTGGATCACTTTGTGGAACTCTAGACTCTGGTTGGTAAGCACAGGGGAGAACAACAATGAAACCAATCTGAGAAATAAAATAGGAAGGCTGCAAACTAGTTTGTGTCCTTGGGACACACAGTTCCCGCATTTGTACCAGGAAGGGATAAGACCGGGATGCTGTTGGCTTGGGCCATCTGACTCTGGTTTGTAGGAATCAGGGCTGGGAGAGGCCTCAGATGTCAGATAGGCTAATTTCCACTCTAAACAGATGGGGAAACTGAAGCCAATGATTGACAAAGGGAGCCAATGATGGACCCAAACGTAGGCTCCCTGCCTCAGGTCCAGCCCTGAGATACTGGCTGGACTCGAGATGCTGGCCTCATGTGTTGCCATTGGCTGCTTGGCCCTGGTCTACCCAGGCCCTACTTCAGGCTCTCAGCCCCACTGGTCCCTGCAGGCTGAGTGGCTCCAATTGGCCTTTACCTTGTTCCAGTCTGGCCGCCCAGGCTGGGTGCGCGTCTGCAGGCCCGTGATGGAGTCCTTCTTCTCCTTCTTGGCCACAAGGTCGAGAGCCATCTGCAGGCCGATGGCTTTCATGTCATTCTTACTGAGTGCAGAGGTCATGTACATGTGCAGCTCCAGGAAGCGGCCTATGTGGTGGGAGGAGAGGGTGACACTGAAGGGCCAGCAGCAGTGACAGGGACAGAGTAGCATGTCAGCCACCTCGCCCTGGGGCTTGGAGAGACACCAAGAGGGCTTGGAACTCACCCACAGCCACCATGTTCACCCAGGACCCCCACATGACCAGTGCAGTAGAGAGGAGTGATGCTCCCTGCTTGGGCCGGGCCCACCCTGTGCACGGCGCGCACTGGTTAGTTTTTATCCGTTTTCCAACATGAGCCTCACAATCACCCAGGAGTTCCAGTTCCAGAGGGGAATTAATCCCAAGGCAGTGGGGCAGTCCTTGGGCTCTGAAGTGTGTACCTTTCATTCCATACGGTGCATGCTCGGTCAGGCTGGGGACATGAGGCATGCACACATGAGAAGGTAACTGGGACCAGAGGGCCAAGGGTTGAGTGAGTGGATCAGAGGACACGTGCTACTGGTACCCAGGGAAGGGCTGGAGCAGACAGAGCTGCTTCCTGGGAGGGCGGGGACTAGGTTAGGTCTTGGAAGACGGGCAAGGTTCAAGGAAGAAATGAAGGAAGGCATCCCAAGAAGAAGTAGCATGAACCAAGGACAAGAGGCTGGAACAAACTCAGTGACCGTGGGGCATGAGGGGACTGCCTGGCTGGAGCAGAGGGCTTTGAACAGGAGCAGCAGGTGGGATTGGATACTCTGAGGCTATGATGCACAAGGTCTTGAATGCCCAGCTAGGGAATGGGGGCGGGTGGAGGGTATCTGAGCCGGGTGTGACAGGATGCAAACAGCATTTCAGAAAGGGGAGTCAGAGAGCCAAAGAGACAGGGCACAGGCTGGTGACACAGAGACCAGTAGGTCTGAGCACCCTCAGTTATATGCCTGCAACGGGACAGGTTAGTGGGGTGCTCACCCTTCAGCCCTCAGAGCAATGAGAGGCCCAGATGGGCAGCTCTGTGTTTGGGCTCCTCCCTCCGTTTTCCCGGACATGGCATACAGATGTTACCATTTTCCATGTGTGCCACTCCGGCAAGTGCTGCCTCAGACCCTGCATCCATGCAAAGTGAGAAGTGGCAGGGCATGATCTGGGTGGATGGATTCACAGGCCGATGAGCCCTGCATCCCCTTGTGCAGCTCTCAACTAGCTCTCGACTGTTTCATGGGGCACCAGTAGCCCAGTTTCCCGTTTTTCTTAAGGTCTTGGCCACTGTTAAAATGCAAATGGCCTTAGAAAGGATACCACATTTTATTTCCCCTATCAGTGAACTTGAGAGTGCTGGGAGGTGTGGGAGGGACTGTGAGGGATGCCTGCCTGAGAGCACCCTGTCCCTCTTCTCCCTCCTGCAGTCTCCACACCCTGGAGAGGGGTGCGAGACCAGAGGAGGAGACGCTGTGGGGGAGGGAGGAGAAAGATCTGATCTGTCACAGTTTCACCCTCTCCAAAACAGCTGAGGTTGAGACAACTCATCCCATTTCTGGGATGCTCTTCTAAGGAAATCATCTAAGGAAGGGGAAAAAAACCTATGTGCATGTACATATTAATAACAGCTTTACTTATGATAGTGGAAAACCAGGAATTTAAAAAATGGTTAGTAGTAGGAGCTTGGTTAAACAATTTGTGGCAAACCACTAACTGTATCATTCATTAATAACCATTAAATACTACTACCACTGCTATTGCTAGTTTTATTGAGTAGTTACTACTTTTACCACTATTAAATTTATTGAGCAGTTACTATTACCATTACTACTATTACTACTAATTTATTGAGCAGTTGTTAAGCTCCAGCCACTGTTCTAAGTGCTGTACAGATGATATCTCATTAAATCCCCACAACAGTTCCATGAGATGGGTACCAGCCATAGCCATATTTTTCAGATGAGGGAACTAAAGCAAAGCAGTTAAAAATGTGCCCAGGCTTCTATAGCTATCAAGGGATAAATATTTCAAACCAAACAGAATGACTGACGTTTAAGCTATGAAAATTCAAAAGAAGTCACAAATTCTTTAACTGAAACTTTCGTATAAAATGAAAATTAAAATTAAAATCAGAGGCCACAAGTTTCAGCTGCAGTTTACATGACACCTGGGTGGCAATTTGCCTCAAGTGACTGAGAACAGGAAGCATCAGGTTAATGCTTACCCTTTGTTTACACAGATAGGGAAGAAGCAAGCAGCAAATACACCAGTAACTAGAAATTTTAATTAAATCTATACTTTTCCTCTCTCTTGTCATCATAAAATCCAGTCTCTAATGAATTAATATACATAAAACCATTTAGAACAAAGTGGATACTATATAAATATTTGCTATAATGTTATTCACAAGAAAGGGCAAGGAGATTTCCTGTAACATCCTAAGGCTTAATCATTATCTTCCAAAGACTGTTGACTTGGGCTTTAAGGCTTTGAATGTTTGTTATAGTAAATCACATCTGTCTGAATGTTTCTTGTAGAAAACTATGGTTGATTACTTGAACTTATAAACTATGTTTATTATAGGAATTTCAATTTACTCACGGCAACCTTGTGATAATTAAACAGCCAAATAAGATCTACTTCCAGTGAATTCAACCAGTATAAAAAAAAAAACACACCAATTCTCTTGAAGTTAGAAACATATCTAAAGATATTCCTCCCTGTATAAGTTATTCCACAAGGAAAGCAAAACAAAACAAAAAAAGTGAACCTAACAGGTTAACTTTAGAATGCAGGACAAAACCTCAGTGTGCCACAAAGATGTCCCATGAAGATAACGATGTACCTCAGAGAAGCGTGTGGTCACACACACTAAGCACTGGCTTAGTAAAAACTGTAGAATGTACACGGGGTGGGGTGGGGGCAGACTGCAGGGGCCGGAGGACAGCATTGGAAACATTCATTTTCAATGAAAGTATAAAATAGGGACCACACAGTAAAAGAACTCGTATACACTAAAATGCTTATCTTAGACTGCGCTTAACGTGTTTTTATTGCCACTGCATCAGGAAAAATATTGAAGCTTCAATCCCAATAAATATATGTTTATTCACATGTTCATTTCTACTAACTGGTTCTGGACATTGAACATGTAGGTGGGAGTGAGAAGAACCGTATGTATTTTCTCACCTTAAACGGTGGACTAAATGCATAAAACCACAGTGAACAGGTACTGCGGGACTGTAACTGGCCCCGGAGAAAATGAAGTGAGCCCTGCAATTGCCCCAGCTTAGAGCTGGTCCCACCGAGTGCGGAGACAGAAACTGGGGTTTGAGGAGGCCAAGACAGCTAGAATGTGCAGGCACAACACTGGAAAAGGGGACTGCAGAGAGATAGAGAGAGGGAAGGAGGAAGAGAAAGAGAAAGGGAGGAAGAGAGGGAGTTGTGGGGGAAGCTACCTCTGGAAATCTGCATAAAGCTTCCCTTCAGCCTTTGGCTAAGCATCAATATGTACATGTGTGAAAGAAAGTTTCCGCAAAACACTAGGCTGAACAGTACCTGGAGCTCAAACAGAGTTGGGGGTAATTTGGGCTTCCACCAGCAAGAGCGGGGAGACCTTGTGATACCCAGGACCGTAGGTAGAGTCCTCAGAGGTGTAAGGTCTTAGTACCGGGGCTAAATTAGTCCCACGGTAAAATCTGCTCTGGACTCACCATACCAAAGTTGAATGCAAGTCTTGAGAGGATCCAAATTATCCTAAATAATGTGACTGTGCCCCAGAACAAACTAAATGCTATTTAAAGAAATACCCCAAAATCCAGAACACAACAACATGCAATTCACAATACGTGGCATCCAATAAAAAATGATCGGGCATGCAAAGAAGCAGAACATGATTTATAACAAGGAGAAACTCAGTCATTAGAAACAGACCCAGAAACAACAGGTGTGATGGACTTAGACAAACATGCTTCACAGGTATGAGAATGTACGATCAAAACGAAGCAGGTATGATGAGGAGAGAGATGAAAGGCATAAGAGACCCAAACAGAACTTCTAGAGAGGAAAAACACAACCTCACTGAACAGGGTTCACAGATATTTAAGGTCCCTTGGTTTTCCAAATAAATTTTAGTATCAGCTTCTCGATATGCATTTTTTAAAACCTGCTCCAAAAGTCTGATTCGAATGGGAATGATGGGAAAGGTGCTGCAGAAGAAAAGACCAGTGACCTTGAAAGCATAGAAAGGGAAATGACCCAACATGAAGAACAGATTGAAAGGAAAAAATAAAAAAGGACAGTGTCAGAGACCTGTGGAATACCAAACCGTCTAAAGTCTGTGTAATGGAAGTGACAGGAAGGAAAAGAAAGAAGAAAAAAATGTGAAGAAAGAACGGCTGAAATTTATCCAAATTTGATGAAAACTATAAGCCCATATATGCAAGAAGTTTAATGAACTCCAAGTACAAGAATGTGAAGAAAACCACTTCTTGGAAGCGTTTTGTAGTTTTCAGTGTTTAGATCTTGCCCATATTTTTCTATACCTATCCTTAAGTATTTCATGTTTTTTAAATTTTTATTAAAAAATTTTCAATTATGAATCATTTGCTGCTAGTAAATAGTGATAGTTAACTTTTACATATTGACCTTATATCCTGACCTTGTCGAACTCACTGTGATGCTGATGTAAATGAAGAGCTAAAATTATGACATTTTTAGAAGGAAACAAAGGAGAAAATACTCAGGACTTGGGTAAAGCCAAGATTTTAGGTAGGACCAAAAAAAAGCATGAAGAATTTTAAAAATTGATCACTTGAACATTTTGTGCTTCAAAAGACAGTTTAAGAAAATGAAAAGGCGAACAGCAGACCGAGGAGAAGTGTCTGAGAGATGTACGCCTGAGCGAGACCCTGCTTCCGGACTCCGAAGACGACGTGTACAACTTAATAAAAAGAATACAGCATTTGGGTTTACTGAGTGGACTAAATATCTGAAACTTTACAAAGATGTACAAACAACGAACAAGAGCATGAAAATATGTTCCATATTGTTAGTTGTTAGACAAATGCAAATTAAGAGCCCATTAATATACCACGACACACCCACTAGAAGAGCTAAAATTAAAAAGACCGCCCACATCAAATCTTGGCAAGGTGTGGCACCAATGCAACTCCTGTCCATTGCCGATGGGAATGCAAAATGGCACAGTCACTTTGGAAAACAGTTTGGCAGTTTCTCAATAAAGTTAAACCTAAAGCATACCCAGCAATTCCACTTCTAAATATTTATCCCAGGTAGATGGAAACATATGTCCACACAAGAACTTACATGCACATATCTCTAGCAGTTCTACTTAAAATAGCCAAGAAGTGAAAAGAACTCTAATATCCATCAACTAGTGGATGGAAAAACAGATTGTGATATATCATAAAATAAAACACTACTCAGCGATGGACGGTTTTAACCACTTACTGGTACATGAGACAACGTGGATGAATCTCAAAGACATGTCAAGTGAAAGAAGTAACACACAAAAAAGACTACACATTACACGATTCCATGTATGTGAAACCATAGTGAGAGAAAGCAGGTCAGCGGTTGCTGAGGACAAGCTGGGGGCGAGGGTGTCGATGCAGAGTGGGATGAGGCAGCTTCTGGGGGGCAATAGAGATGTTTCCTATTTCAATTGTGCCCCTGGTCACACAACCATGCACATTCATCAAAACGTCATTTTATTCATTGTACAATTATACTGATGAATACTATTGTATATAAATTATCCCTAAGAAAACTTTTTTTAAAAAGGGTTGAACAAGAGTCATCTGAGAAGTCTGTTAAAGTATATGCTCCAGGACATTCACCCAGAGAAACTGCTTTGGAAGATCGCTGGTGAGGCCTGGAAATCTAAATCTTTTTAAAAAGATTATTTATTTATCTAGTGCAGAGAGAGTGGAAAGAAGGGAGAAAGAGAGGGAGAGAAACATCGATGCACCAGTGCAACGCAATAGGTAGCTTGTCACATGCCCCCAGCGGGGGACCAGGCCTGCAACCCAGGCTTAGGTCTTGACCGGGAATTGACCTGGTGACCTTTCCCTTTTGGGAATAATGCCAAACCCACTGAACCACACCAGTTAGGGCTGGAAACCTAAATTTTTAACAAGTACTCACTCTGTATTAAAAGAAATACAGTGAGCCCTGGCTGGGTGGTTCAGCTGGTGAGAGTGTCGTTCTGTGCACCACAGGCCGTGGGTTTGGCCCTGGTCCGGGCAGTTTCTGGGCTGTTCGTTCAGTCCCTGGTCGGGGCGCGTGTCGGGGGCAACTGACTGATGTGTCTCTCTCCATCAATGTTTCTCTCTCTTTCTCCCCCTTCCTCTCTCTAAAAATCAGTAAACTGTATCGTCGGGTAAAGGATACATTTAAAAAAAGAAAAGGAAAGAAACGTAATGAAAAAGAGAAATTAGAAAAAAGAAGGGCACACATTTTTATAAGCTGTGAATGAAAAGAAAATACTGATAGGAAACCCTTTAAAAGTCTGGAATAGTCTGGATAGTGGATACGGTTATGAATGCCTTTTCCCTTCTTTAATTTTTGTTTCACAAAATGTTATATTTAAGTAGGAAATAAGAGGAACCCTCTCTCCCCCGTATTTTTGATAGAACGCCTCCTCACAAAGACCCTGGCCCTGGCCCCTGCCCCACGCCCACCCCCTCAGGCCCTGTGCCTCTCCTGCCCACTCACCCTCTTGAGTCTCCTCGGCCTGGTCCATCTCCAGTTTGGTCAGCAGGCTGACAAACCACTCGAAAGCCCGCTGGTGTCGGTTGATCCAGATGAAGTCCACCTAGGGAGAGGGGCCCTTCGGTCTGAGTCGGGGCCTCCCTGTTCACAGCATGCTCATATCAGTGGTCTCCGAGGCCACCCAAGTGTGAGCAGGGCACACACGCTCATCCCCTTTGAAAAGAGGGGAAGACCGAGGCTCATGGAGGGAGGAGCCTTGACCAGGTCCCTGAGCGGCAGAGGACCAGAGCCTGGGTTCCTGACTGCTGGGTCAGGTTTTTCGGCAGTACTCTCTTGCTACAGCACGCAGTGTTCTGAGATCTTAAACAGAGGACAGCCAGAATAACATGACTTATTTTTTAAGGGATTCTTGGAAGTGGCCTAGTCAAAATAATAAATGTTCAAAAGGCAAACATTTTCATTTGTCAAACCACCACTGGGTGACGTGAGTAAGCATCGTGGCTGTAGCTGAATCCAGGCTGCCTGACTTTCAAGCTCCTTGGTGTCTCATGAGATACAGTCTTCAGAACTTCTCTCAGAGGGGACTAGGGGTGATGGTAGGGGCGGCCTGGACACCTAGGAGGCACCAGGAGAATGTGGAGCACTGGGGGGAGTGTGGGGACCAGCAGACCCCAGCAGGGGAGAGGTCATCTGTCCCTCCCCTGCCTTGGCACAGGAGGGCCTGGCTCCTGTTCCAGGCAGCATCCCAGGCAGAGGGTTCCAGGCCGGCCTAGGGGAGGCCATGCTCACCTTGTGGAGCTTCATGTCATCGTCCTGGGTGCCCTCCATCCAGGAGTGCTGACAGTTGGGGCAAGTACGCTTTCTCTTCTGGTACCTTAGGGGAGGTGGGGGCAGGAGTTCTGAATGCAGATTGAGTAGGAGACTTTCCAGGACCTCAGAGAACAGTGCGGGGAACAGGGAGGGAGGGGGAGTGACAGAACCCATCCTATGAGGAAGGAGGGGGATGAGACCCAAACAAGAGAGGCTGGAGGAGTAGGGGAGGAAAGACAGAGAAGGGGAGAGGGAGATAGGTGAGAGAAGGGAGGGGGGAGGGGGAGAGAAGACGGGAGGGCTATCTCAGGGCTCTGCCCAGGGAGCCGGCCAGGACCACGGCCTGTCCACCTACCTGTACATGATGCTCTGCAGGATGGAAGCAAAGGGGGTGATGCCAATGCCCGCCCCGATGAGCACGGCGTGCTCAGAGGCGAAGATCCTGCGGGTGGGGGTTCCATAAGGGCCATTGATGTAGCACTGCGCACCGGAGAGGTTGGAGGAAAGAGGGGGTGAGTGGGTACAAGGAGGGCTGGACCCCGAGACTTCAGGACCCCCTTAACACGCAGGCAGTCATCTCCTAGCCTGGGACCCAGGTCTAAAGAGCTCCTACTCCTGCACTCCGAGCACTCGTCTGGGAGAGCCCTAGGAGGCCAGCATGCAGAGCCGATGGGAGCAGGGCTCACCCAGCATCCTGTGTGCAGCTGGGACGGGGGTTTGGTTCCATCATCTGGATACCTGGAGGTCAGCCCACGGGGACTTGTGGGGCTTGGGCACCGAGGGCCATAGCAAGCCTTCCCTACTGGCAGGTGGGGGCAGGGTTTTCTGGAACCACTTACCTTGATGTTACAGAATTGGTGGTTCTCAGGGGACAGCTCAGAGACCTGAGAGGAGTACAGTAGTAAGCTGTGGGCCTCTGGGAGTGGGCACGTCAGACATCTCCCAGAGGCTTCCTAGCCCTTGCCGGCCTGAGCAACTTTACAAAAAGGGAATTGCCTTTTCTGCCCCAACCATTCCAAGGAGCGTGGAGCCCTTCAAAGGGAGAACACCAGTGGTGTTCTGTAAAATGCACTTTTCAACATCACCACCAAAATTTCTGATTCTGGTGTCTGTTGATTCTTGGTATAAATACTGCCATCGGGGGTCCCTCCAAGGCCTGTGTTTCGTGATACTCACCCCGAGTTTTCTAAAATCCTTCTGTTTGTAGAAAGAAAGCCTTATGTTATAGTTTTGATGTCGTTAACACTTACTAATCCCTTGTCTTTTTTTTCTTTTGAGAGAGAGAGAGAGAGGGAGAGAGAGAGAGAGGGAGAGGGAGAGAGAACACGAACAAACACGGGCAGAGCAGTGGAATGCAGCTCCGGGCTCCGAGCCTTGGCAGGCGGAAACATCTGGCAAGAATCTAGTAACACTGGTTTTCACTGATTTTACTTTTAGAGCTACCTTCTGTTTGTGGCACAGGATACTAGTTTTCCATTAACAAGAGCCCTTGAAAGAGTCCTTTTTAAAATACAATTAAGTTTAAAGTAATGTTGGGATATAAAGAGAAGCGTTAGGTAGGAAATACCTAGTGTTAGGTGGGAGGTGAATATAGCAAAAGCTACAAAGGTGGGAGGCAGATGACTGGCTGCAGAAACCCCGTGAAATGTGTGGTGCCCTGAACGTGGGCTACCCTTGAGGCCCTCCCTTCCATGTTCCAAGGACCCACCGTCGCTGGGGAGACAGACCACTGGCTCCCCAGCCTCTAGCCCAGCATTCTTAGCCTTACCGGAACCCGGGTGCTGGCAGAGGCTCCCCACTGTGCCTGAGTCCTGTCCTTTGTCCCTTTGGGCACCAGGCCTTTGTCCCCCTGCCACGGAGTGCCCTCATGCCCGAAGGATGTCAGCTCCACGGTGACGTCCTCGCTGGAAGCCACTGGACCCTGTGCCAGGGCTTTGGAGTCGTCGGGCTGGGGTTGCAATCCCTGTTTGGTTTCAAAATGGGAATCGCTTTATTATTTAAATCACCAAATTAATACATTAGTTTTAAAGATTGAGATATTACAGAACATGAATGAATAAAGTAAAAAAGTACCTGAATCAGATGATATAACTTCTCTAAACATTTTCTCCGTGTCCTTCCAGACTGTCTCCCTTGCTCACACACACTTTTACATAAATGGAACATACTGCTTTGTGACCAGGCTTTTCCACGCATTCCACCTGGACTGGGCTTTCATGCTTCCAGTGCTTCCCTTTGTTTAGGTGACCTACTGTTCCATCATCAGGGTGATGAGTAACTTATTTAGCTACTTCCCTATTGTAAAATTCTGATTACCCTCATTTCTCCATTACTGTTAACAACTACCATATACAAAATTGCACCTTTTCCATCTCTATGCTTTACCCCAGTGATTTTCAACTGGCGTGCTGCAAGGATTATTAAAACATGCAACACCTGACTATTTAGTCAGGGGCACTGATCTCTTTTCCCTTAGACTGTCAAATTAAAAAGTGACAGCAGCCAACACAACAATAGCCGTCCGATGTGAATGCCCGGTCTCGAACCATAAACACGTGTATATAGGTCATGTAAAAGAGCTGCATCTTATTGGTCATGTCGCATAATAAGGTTGCATCTGATTGGTTAATTCTTGGTACCAGATATCCTCATATACTAGTATAGGTGCCTAATGTTTGTTAAAGTCACTTTGGAACAAAAAGGGTAGGTAATTACTATTATTATTATTCTTTGTAAATCATCAAAATTATACCTATTTTTGTCAGAACAACAAAAAATATATTTTTTGATGTGCCACAGAATTTAGTAATAAGCTTATGTATGCCATGAGATGAAAAAGGTTGAAAATCACTTCTTTACCCTGATTTATTTTCCTCATAATATTTATTATCATTTGATACAGTATCTGTGTTGTTGGATAACTGTCTGTCTCTTCAGAATGTAAGCAATGATTGTGTCTATCTTGCTTACTGATGTATTTTTAGCATCGAGAACAGTACTTGGAAAACTACTGTTTTTCCAAGTGTTCAATAAATGTTTGCTAAATGAATGAATAAACAAGGGGATGAACATACTTCTTGTATACCTGTCCAATTAACTGTTTTAGGATAAATCCCTAAAAATGGAATTGCTGGGCCAGTGGGTATACTGCACATATGGCCAGACTTCCCACCAGAAAGTTTGTGCCAACTTATTCTTTGGCAGCAATGCTTAAGGCCCCAAGGAAACACAGGTTTTAACAACTCCCAGTGTGCCATGGCTCTCCTGGTTTCGGAAGTCACTTCCTCCTTCAGGAAGTATCCCCTGATGAACAACAGAGAACACTCTCTTGTTTGCACCTAGCCCTCCATTTCCCAAAGCTTTGCTCTTGGCAGCATTCTAGAAGGTTCCTCTGGTCTGGCCAGGCTGGATTCCACCTGGTTTTCCCATGGGACTTTAAACTCTTCTAGGGCAAGGCAGGGCTGAGTCAGACCTGAGGGCTTCTCTTCCTTTGGCCTTCAGCAGTGTTCCACATGTGAATCTGTCGCCCAGCCCGGTGGTACAGCCCACTAAGTTTCTGGCACCCTCAGCCTCCTTCATCTGTTCTTACTGCCTCGGGTGCTGCCCTGATCTCTGTATATTCCTCCGCTGCAGGCACTGTATTCACTCCAGGCACTTGTCAGCTTTGCGGGTTTCACTGGGGCTCAAAAGACAACAATGCTGATGCTAATCTAATGCTGAGGGTGTTGATGGTGATAATGAATGGTCCACCTGGACCATGCAGCCCAGTTCACTCGATACTTTACAGTCATTCATTCCATTGGTCCTTAGAAGAACCGTGTGAGAAAGGGAAGCGAAAGATGGGAATTACCCTCAGTTCATAAATGAACAACCCAAGGCTCAGCAAGATTAAAGGATGAGCGCATGGCCATACAGTTAGCAAGTGCTGGAGCAGACATCGAGGTGAGTTTTCCTGATATCAGTTTCCCCTCTCTTTTCATTATCCCCCACCTTCTAACAGAGAACGTGGTCTGGGGAGCACCTGGAGTCAAGCTTCAAGGAGGTTCCTGCATCCCACAATGCTCAGCTACATTGCCGCTCAGCCAATGTACACACTGCTGCTCAGTGATCGGTGCCTGCCAACCGGGAAGGAGGCATCTTGGTCCCCATGGGTTGGCCTCCGTGGTGGATACTTCCTTCCCCACAGTCACCTACCTGGGGCCTCCCCTGGCTCCTTCTCATTTTTAAACTCCTTGACAGCCTCTTAGAGTCACAGTCCACTGGGTCTGATGTCTTGAAGGACTCGTAGAGCCTGTTTGTCCACTGGCCTTCTGACCGGATGTGTAGCCAGATGGTATCTGAACAAGAGATGAGCAGGGGTGTGTCAGTGCTTGTTACTACAGCGGGGACCTCATCTGAGGGATTGGGGCTGGGTATCCCCTGCCCAGGTCCTGGGCTGAACTTCCTTCCTCAGATCCAAACCAGCAGCCATGGCCACAGGGCATGAAGATCTGATCTCTCCCTTGCAAATGTTCCCAGTGGAGTCAATCTAAGCCTACACAGTAAGGGTTCCATCTCCTCTGCCAAGGCAGGGGTCACAGCTGCCCTGAACACACTAGGAGCTCCCTAGGGTCCCTGAGGTCCCTGCCTTCACCATCAGGCCAGGATCTCACCAAGGAGGGGGTCATTTCCCTCCCACATTCAGTCAGGTGCCTATTAATGGCTCTGAACATAGTATGTGTTTAACTGATGGTACCAATGACTTTTATTTCACCCAGTGCCTGGGATGTAGCAGGTGCTTACTAAGGTTTTCTGTTCAGTGGATGACTGGCAGGAAGGTGGTGGGGGGTGGCCACCCTTCTGCTGAGGGGACCAGAGGGAATCCACAGCATTAGAGTGAGGCGACCCCTAAGAGATGTCCTTTTTCTTTTCTTTTCTTTTCTTTTCTTTTCTTTTCTTTTAAACTATGGACTGTTTAGGCAATTCTGTGAAGGAAATGAATAGACTTCTCCTCAAAATAAGGTTTTTAATATATAAAGTAACATGCATAGGCATTACAAATGAAACCAGTCATAATGAGAAAGTTATCAAAAATATTTTTAAAAACCAAATGTGTGCCCTGGCTGGTGTGGCTCAAAGGACTGAGTGCCAGCCTGCGAACCAAAGGGTTGCCAGTTGGATTCACAGTCAGGGCACATGCCTGGGTTGCAGGCCAGGTCCCCAATAGGGGGCGCTCAATAGGCAACCACACATTGTTGTTTCTCTCCCTCTCTTTCTCTCTCCTCTCCCCTCTCTCTAAAAATAAATAAATAAAGTCTTTAAAAACCCCAAATGTGTGATTTAGGAATACGTGTGCTTCTCTGTTAACACAAGAAATAACTCCCCACTGGGGAGTGGCATGGCCACCGGAATTCTATAGTAGTGATGAGGTATCAGCCACAACTGTTGTGTGACATAAAGGAACGTACAGTTCTTATTTAGAAAAAGTCACAGGTATTGCTAACACTACTGTGGGTTGTTATCTGCATTCCTAATTAAAGAAAAGGCTAGATTTCCATCAGAGGTTAGTGAAAATAAAGATGTCACTCTTTCCCCCATCCAAGTTCATGAATAAACTGGTTCAACCCTGTATTTGTGGAGGCCCAGGGCAGTGTGGTGTGGTCTCACTGCTTTGTGAGGAAGGAACTGAAAAGTCAGGACCAGAGCTCAGCTCCTCAGACCCTGGCTCCCATGCCTCTCTCTCAAGCTTCTTCCTCTTTCCTGATGTGTGTGTGTGTGGCGGGGGTGGGGGGGGTGGTGAGTGGGCTATGCCTTCTCCACACAAATACACCCTGAAGTGCTTCACACAGTGACTCACCAAGGGAGCCTCCCTAAATGTGAGCTGCATTCAAGCACCCACAGCTGCCAGCCCGAGTCCCACTCCTGGTTTCTGTAACCCAGCTTTGTAAATAGGGTATTTACCATTCCCCATAAGGACTCAGCTCAATGCCAGAGGTTCAGGGCTCAAGAGATAAGCAAATTCTGAGCTGAGACCCTGAAGAAACCCCTTCAGAAAGTGGTCAAATAAATGACCCGTCCATATATTAAACGTAGTCATTAACATCAGAGTAGTGGCTACGTGCTGGAATACTATGCAGCCACAAAAAGGGAAAGTTCTTTCTGAAAGAACTGACATGGAAAGATTTTCATGATGTACTGTTCACTGAGGAAAAATTGGCTGTGAAACAGAGTGAACAGTGTAATCCTATGTATGCAGAATTATCTCCGCATCCAATTATCCACGTGGGTGTACAGGTTGGACACCGCTCACCAAAAGATTGACAATGCTTTTCTTTGCATGGAATTATTTGAGGGATTTTAATTTTCTTTTGTGCCAATTTCTATGTTGCCTGAATTTTTCAAGAGCATATAATTTCTTAAAAAAACAGAAAGGGAAGAAAAAATAGAAAGGAAACAACCTACCTTCTTCAACCCTTATCCCTATGTTTGTCCCATTGTATGTCCAGGCCACCAATCAGGACATTGCAGGGCAGGTAGTATGCAGCCTGAGTGGGGGGAGCCCTGGCCTTGGGTCTGCACCCTGAGTTGTGGGAGCTGGGTCCTGCTGGGCCCCGGCTAGGAGGCATCCTAAGTGAAGCTATCTTTTAATGGGATGTGTCAGAGAACCCCTTTACCTGTCATGAAGCCAAGCAAGGGTCTCATTGTGACAGACCGTGTCAGGTCTTTCCTGTCAGAAGCACCGCCTGAGGTGGGAAGGCCAATCTTTGGCCTGGCCAGGAGGGACAATAGCCCAGGACCGGAAGAAAGGCACAGGCATGGTGGGGGTCAGGGGACAGCTGGGCCCAGGGAGAGTCAGCTGAGCAGTTCTATGGGTGCTGGGGACCCACAGAGAAATGGGAGTAGTGTAGGACTGAGGGCAGAGGGTGAGAGGGAGTCTGCTGCCTGGGGGCTCTGCTGGGCTGTTGCCCACAGGGAGCGGGAAAGCCTGGCTTCTTGTCACAGACCCCCTGAAAATGTCCAGGTACCCCTTCCTGTGTGCTGGCTACTCCTCTGCTTAAGACATTCATGGGCTGCCAACTGCCTGTGCCATCCAGCTTCTAATTCTGCATTCAAAGTCCTCCTGGTCTCACACGGGCTCTAACCAGCTTTTCCAGACACTGCCTTTCATCACTGACCCTCTCTCCTGCCCTCCCACTCTCTCTCTGTCCCCCCTTCCTTTCTCTCTACCCCACCCCCACTCTTAGCTCTAACAACATCAGATGTCCCACACTTCCAGTTTTTCAAGCTTTTGCCTCTGGTCCTCCCTCTGCCTCCTCCTGCATCTCCTTCCCTGCCTACTAAACTCCTACTAACCTTTCAAAGTTCAGCTGCAATGCCACGTGCCTGTGAAGCCTGGCCCACTTATCCCACCATGCCAGGCCCTCCCTTGTGACCCTCACAGTAGCTGGTCAGCCCTGACCACGCCATTCAGTGAGTGTCTGCCCGTCTTCCTCCTTGTTTCAGAGGGATTTTTTTGGAGGTTGACTTTGCACCTCTGGTTCTGTTCACCTCTGTGTGCCTGGCTCCCAGCCTGTGCTTAGCACACAGAAGAACTCAGTAAATGCCTGAATGACTGGATGGCTTGGCATACCTTTCTGCTCTGGAGCACTGCTGATGGTGAAGGGGTGCCACTCATAGCGAGCAATGGTGGGAATGTTCAGATACAAGTAGTCACCAGGCCTATAGTTGAAAAGAGGGGGCCTCTTGATGAGCAGATGAGTCACCTGGGGAAAGAAGGAAATCAGCATCATTCGTGCAGACCCAAAGTTGTCAGGGGCCCTGGGACCAGAGGGCAGAGGCCGGGCCATCTTCCGCCATAAACCAGGCCAGCTCAGATGTGAGACCCTTCTGTACCTATGAGTGAGGGCCACCCTTGAGCTATCCGCCAACCAAGGCAAGGCAACTATCAGAGAAGAGAGAAGTCAGGAAGGGGTTCATAGCTTGATTCCACTTCTTATGGTGAAAATACTGCTTTTTAGTGGCCCCCGCCTCTGTGAAGCCCTCCCTGACTATTCTAAACCTTTTCTTGGTACTTCTGTAGCACTCAACCAGCATGGAAACCACTAATGGTCATCTCCCCTATGATAATAACATCGTTCTGGATGACAGCATCAGTTTATTGAGCACTTACTGTGTGCCAGAGCTGTGGGGAGCACTTTAAGTGCTATCTCTAGTCCTCACAGTAACCCTTTGAGGCTAATGTTATACTTTCTCCACTTTCTGGATGAAAAGCTGAGGCCCAAAGAAGTTAAATAGCTTGCTCAAGACCATCAGCTAGGAAACCATGGGATTCAAATACAATATCAGCTGTCTGATGCCGGAGCCTGGACATAAACCACAACCTCATTATTTACTTCCATGTCCTTCCACTCCAGTTGTCCAGACCCCGGCCCCCCCCCCTCAACCTACCCTCCCTTTCTCCATAAATGGCCCCAGTCACTCCCCAACTACCTGGCAGTTGTCCTAGCCTCCTTTCTCTATCCTAAAATGCATCCAGTTACCTTTTGAGTCTTGCTGTGATAGGCCCCCCTCCCCACCTCAAAGCCACTGCCTAAGTTCAGGGTCAAGGCCGTTATGAGTTCTCATCTGCATATGTGCAACAGCTTCCCTAACAATCCTCTCTGAGCCATCTTCCACAGAGAAACTAAAGAAATCTGTCTGGAATATAAAGCAGCTTAATACCCCTGCCCTGGTCTGGGGTTCCCTGGAGCCTGCAAGTGAGACTCTATTCACCACCAGGCCCTGCCCACGCCTGCAGGAATACCCTTCCCTGTCTTGTCTGTCCAGCAAACTCCTCCACATCTCTCAAAACCCTGGTATGGCATCTTCTCCCTCATTCAGGAGTCTCCTCTGACCTCTCCAAGACAATGAGTTTGATACCTCCTGGAACTTGACTTCTCTCACCAACATAGTCCCGCACTACAGTGAAAGGGCCGATTCCCTGCTATCTGCTGGACCTGTGGAGAGCAAGACAGGGCCTGAGCCCTCTCTGTGTCTCTGCCACCTAGCGCAGGGCCTCCTATCTTATAGGCATTTAATATATGCTGCCTGAGCATGTTCTCTGCAGACCTGGCCTTTAGTGGTATCCTGTCATTCCCCTTCCTATAGCATCACTCCTGAAGGGCTGCACTGGGTTGTGCACTTTGCTGGTCCTCTCCACTGTGCTGGGGCTCCCTATTTCCTTAGGGATAGAACAGGGTAGCCAGCCACTGCACCCTACCACCACCTGCATCTCCCCTTGGCTGCTGAGGCCGTTTTCGTACCTTGGAGGGGAGGAGATTGACTTCCACAATGCTCAGAGCTGCCATGCGGGACACTACCAGCCCGATGGCCTTCTCCAGGAAGAACACGGTGCCAGGGACCAGCAGCCACTTCCAGAAGTTGGGCCCATGTAGGATGAGCAGGACCCACATGGGGAGGTAGGACAGGTGCGTCCAGTAGAACACCTGTGGGGGTGGGGGTGTAAGCTGCTGGGGTTCAAAGCCTGGGGTGGAACAGAGCCAGGGCTCCGGGCCATCCTTAAAGCCAGGATGGTGCCCAGAGGCTTGGCCATACACTCCCTCTCCTGGTCACCTGGCTGAGTAAAAGGCTGGGGGTGGAAAGCTTCCTTGCTTCTTTGTTCTGGGAATGGAAAAGAAAAGAGCTGAGCACTGAGATTTAGCATGTACTCTGCAACTAGCTTGGGACGGTGGCCTAATAAATGACTTTTCTGAGCTTTAGATTCCTCATCAGTTGAGTGAGGATGCTGATTCCTACTTCAAAGGATTGTCACTGGCCCAGAGTAGGTGCTCTGTATATGTCTATCTCCGATGTGATGAGATCAGTCCAGGGGACAGCCAGGGTCTCCAAACTAAATCCTCTATGACCTCCTGTGTCTTGAGAAGGTTAGAGAGAAGGAAGCAAAAATGAAACTATTATAACATTTTTTGAGCACCTATGTTCCAGGTAGGTAGTTACTGGCTTCACATATATTATTTCATTTGATTCCTAAAAAAACTTCAAAGGTAGAGGAGTATAGATTCATTTTACAGATGAGGAAGCTAAGTGACCTGTAAATAGTGGGGTGGGGATTAGAACCCTGGGGGCCTATGTTCCTTCCCTTCTCTTACATTTTGAGCCCAGTTTAATCCAATTAGAGCAAGGGGATGAGCCAGAGAATCTTCTAGAGCAAAATATTTGCATATGGCAGACATCGACTACAGCCCAATGGCAGAACTCAAATCACATGCACATAATATGCATGCTGGCCGGGAACCTTCCTGGACTCTGGAGTAAGTTACAGGGCATGCACCATGAAATGAAGGTGGGAGCCCAGCCTGGGAGAGGCAAGGGAGCAAGGACTACATACCTCAAAGTGTCCGTTCCTGCGGATGCAGGAGCTGGAGCAGGCGAACATGAGGAGCAGCAGCAGCAGGAGGGCCACACCGGTTGGTGAGGCCAAGCCATGGACCCAGCCAATGCCAGGCCTTGTGGTGAGCATCAGTTCCCAAAACTGGAAGGAGCTGGACTCAGACTGAGCCTGGAGCGCTGGAGATAAGCACAAGACAAGCTCTTCCCATTTAACCTCCCCTTTGTGTCTCCAAGTCTCCCCATCATACACCCGTACAGGCAGGGAGTTTTGTCCAGAGTTCTGGTTATCAAGGGCAACACTTCTCCACCCATTGGGCAGGCAGGACACATGGGGGTTGGATAACTAAGTGATTTGTGAAAGACTCAGTCCCACCATACCCCCAGCCCCAGGCTACTCACCAAAGTTGACAACATGGGCCACAGTGTGTACAAGGGAGAGCCCGACCACCACATAGCCCATAAGCTGGTGGAACTGGATGTTCTGGTCCAGGGGTAGTACCTGAGCCAGCCATGTGGTCCGTAGCCATGTGAGGCAGCGCCTGAGCATCAGCACCTGGCAGGGAAAAGGGGCAGAAAGCCATCTGTCTCTCTCTGCTTTGTCTTCCTTCTCCAGCAGTTGTCTCTCTGCCTCCCTCTGACCTAGCTGTGCTTCCTGAAGGGGCCCCATCACCATGCATCCTGTCTCCAAGCCTTCCCTGCTCTTCTGGGTCCACAGCTGGGGTCTCTAAGACCCCAGGGGTGGGAAGAGAAAATGTTACAGAATGCTTACTGGTATTACTTTGATCTAAACACATGGGAAACACATAAGGCTTTACTAACACTGAATATCTATGTTGACACAGTGCCCTCTTTCAGTCTGTATGTCAGATGGACACATGTCACGTGTGGCTCTCAAACTGTCCTGGGGAAAGACTTGGTTTTCCAAGACACTTTTGACAAGGGCTCCCTCACTTGCTCAATTGCTTTCAATGTAGTTATGTGCACCCAGATATGTGGACTTGCAGATTACATTATCAAGTTTTAACTTTAAGATAACTACTCTTCACAGAAGTGACCAGTAGCTTAAAAAGATTCACTGCAAAGAAAAAGAAGATTGAAAATAGTGTTGATCGTGCAATAGCAAGTTACCAAGAAAATGAATCACATATGTCCTACCCTCGGTAGGAACTCTTAGTCCCAGTTATGAGGTTAAAATTACAAGCCACTCTAATAAGAAGCTGATATTATCAAGAAGACTGTTTGGCCCTGGCTGGTGTGGCTCAGTGGATTGGGTTGCTGGTTTGATTCCCGGTCAGAGCACAAGCCAGGGGTGTGGACCAGATCCCCAGTAGGGGCCGTGCAAAAGACAACCACACATTGATGTTTCTCTCCCTTTCTCCCTCCCTTCCCCTCTGTCTAAAATAAATAAATAAAATCTTTGAAAAAAGAAAAAAAAAGAAGAAGAATGTTTGGACTGGAGACATACATTCCTGACCATTAAAAATGAACCTTGGCTGCTCTGAATAGTGTGGTTCAGTTGGTTGAGTGTCGTCTAGCAAAGTGGAACATCACCAGTTCAATTCCCAGTCAGGGCTCATGCCTGGGTTGCTGGCCTCATCCCCTGTTGGGTTGTGTGTGAGAGGCAACCAATTGATATTTTTCTCACACATTAATGTTTCTTTCTCTCTCCTTCTCCTCCCTTACCCTCTAAATAAATAATTTTTAAAAAATTCTCTTTGGCTTTTTACTTTTTTAAAAAATGAAGCTTGGGGTTGGGCCAAGGCCAGGGCGGAGGCAGGATGTGGCAAGAGCAAGTTTGCACTAACTGGGCTGGCGGTAGAACGGCCTTGCCCCTGGCGGCAAAGTTCGTGCTGGCCAGATTTGGCCCTCAGCAACTTCTTTCAGGGAAGGGGGCCAGTGCAGCTGCTCTTGCAACCAGACATCTTGATCCACATCCATAGATTGGAATTTTGGTGGGCCAGCCATCCTCAGACACCCACTTAGGACAAATGTCTTCGTAGGTAAACATAACTTGCCTTCCCATACAACCAATAGGCTGGTCCCACACCCACATGTGGCAGATAAAAACCAAGAGGGATATCTCAGGAGTGACAGGTCCCAGCCCCATACCAGGCCCCTCAGTCCAGGGTTCCAATGTGAGGAAGGTAAATCTCCATAACTTCTACCTGTAAAGTCCAGTGGGGTTTGAGGCTATGGAAGACAGAAACTTATAGAGTCCCAGGCAGTTCATCTTAAAGGGCTCACACGCAGACTTACTTGGACTCACTCCCTCTGAGCTCCAGTGCAGGGGCAGATTGAAAGGCATAAGAGACATATGGGAAGGAAATGAGTTGTCTGGCATCAGGGTAAGAGCTTGGGGGCAGCTTCCTCCCAGACAGAAAATGGGAGAACAATGGCAGGCAGAGGCCATTGTTCCTTTTCTGAGCCTTCAACCCACAGAGCTACAGAGCAGGTGGGCACCATATCTGAGACTCCATCAACCTGGCTCACACTGTTTGCCCCACCTTGATGATTCCCTGAGCTGCTACCCCACCCAACTTTTGGGCCCACCCAAGCTATTTCCAGTGGCTTTTCCATACCAATGGCTAATCTTAGCTCAGGCTTCAGATTTTCCTAAATTCTCTCAAACAAGCAGAATCTGGCTTCAGGTGCTAAATTGCCCCAGACCTAGGACTAGCACCATCTGGCCTTGGTTCACAGCCTAGCCTCACCTGGGCACCTCCAAGCCCAGCACAAGTAGCAGCCATCTACAGATTGTTTTGTAGCTTATGCTGTATGACCCCAGACAGAACACAGGATGTGGCTTATCTTGGATGTGCCAACAGCAGTCAAAGCTCAACTATAACAGGAAGGTGTACATAGCCCACAAGGGTGTGCACCTTGAGTACTCAGCTTGGGTAATAGGGGGAGGATGTGCCATTGGACCCTACAGGACACCTAGTACCTTAGGCCACTCTATCTGGGAAGCATATCAGCTCTACCTAATACATAAAAACACAAGTAGACTGGCAAAATTAGGAGACAAAGAAAAATGGTCCAAATGAAAAAACATCAAAATTCCAGAAAACAAACTTAATAAATGGAGACAAGCTATCTAATAAATGCAGAGTTCAAAACACTGGTTATAAGGAAGCTCAATGAACTTAGTGAAAACCTCAACAGCATAATAAATATCCAGTGAGAAATGAATGATGCGCTAATTGAAATAAAGAACAATTAACAGGAAATGAACAATAGAGTGGATGAAGCTGAGAATCAAATTAGTGATATAGAATGTAAGGAAGCAAAAAACAACCAATCAGAACAGCAAAAAGAAAAAAGAATTCCCCCCCCCTAAAAAAAAATGAGGACAGTATACAGACCTTCCAGGACAACTTCAAGCACAGGAACATTCGCATCATGGGGGTGACAGAAGGAGAAGAGAGAGAGTAAGAAATTGGAAACCTATTTGAAAAATAATGACAGAAAACTTCCCTAACTTGGTGAAGGAACTAGACAAGTCCAGGAAGCACAGAGAGTCCCAAACAAGATGAACTCAAAGAGGCTCACTCCAAGACACATCATAATGAAAATGCCAGTGTTAAAGACAAAGAGAGAATCTTAAAAGCAGCAAGGGAAAATCAGTTAGTTACCTACAAGGGAGCCCCCATAAGACTGTCATCTGATTTCTCAAAAGAATCTTTGCAGGCTAGAAAGGATTAGCAAGAAACATTCAAAGTAATGAAAAGCAAGAACCTACAACCAAGATTGCTCTACTCAGAAATGCTATCATTTAGAATCGAAGGACAGATAAAGAGCTTCCCAGACAAGAGAAAGCTAAAGGAATTCATCACCACCAAACCAGTATTATATGAAATGTTAAAGGGTCTTCTTTTAGAAGAAGAAGATAAAAAATATGAATGATAAGAAAGCAATAAATACAAATCTATCAACAATTGAATCTAACAAACAAACAAACAAGCAGAACAGAGACAGAATCATAGTTGCAGAGAATATTTTGATGGTTGCCGGATGGGAGGGAGGATTGGGGGGATGGGTGAAAAGGTGAAGGGATTAAGAAGTACAAATTGGTAGTTACAGAATAGTCATGGGGATGTAAAGTACAGCATAAGGAGTAGTGTAGTCAAGGAACATATATGCATGACCCATGCACATGGACAATGGTATGAGGATTGTCTGAAGTGGGGATGCTGTATGGAGGGGAGGCAAAGGGGAAAAAATTGGGACAACTGTAATAGCATAAAAAATAAAATATAATTTTAAAAAAGCAAAAAAATGAAACTTGCCTTATTGTTATATTATACCATAATTCTATCAGCTAATGATAATAGGGCATATATAATTATAAGTAAGTGAGCATATACTGGGTTATTGGAAGGGTCTTTTGTCTTGTTTTAATTGTAGTAGTGTGCAAAAACACTTGGAGACCTCACTCCCTGGCCAAGAGGATCAATCACATTGACTCCTTAGTCTGGCAGGCAAGGCTCTTGAAAGGTTTTCTCTGGTTGAAGCCCTGCCCTGGATCTAGTTCCACCTCCTCTGGATCTGCCATAGTTTTCTTGTGAAGATCAAATGGAAAGTGCCCAGCACCTGGACTGGTACACAGGAAAGGACACAAAAATGCCAGCTATGTTATTTGTGTGTTGTGTGACTATGGACAAGTCACTGCCCTTGTCTGGGCCTCAGTCTTCACCATGGAGTACTGACCCTGATTTCTAAGATGCCGTCCTGCCCTGGCACTCCGGGTGTCCACGTGTGGGTTGTTTAGTCTATGAGGAGCCTACATCAATCCCCCTGCCTGCTTCCCTGCATTGTGCCTCGGATCCCTACCACAATGAAGCTGCAGTCGAAGTTGAGGCATTGGCCACAGCCCTTGGCCACCATGACGCTGATGCCGAGGTCCCGGTGCGCACTAGCTGCCAGTGCGAAGAGTAGCACATGAAGGCCCACGTAGGTTGCCAGGCAGAGTAGCTGGCTGCAGTGATTGTGCCAGTAGGCAGCAGTCAGTGGGCGAGGACGGTGAAGGTGCCGCTGGGTGGTGGGGGGCGTTAGCCAGTGGGCAGCACTGCAAAAGAAGGATGCGGTGGGACCGGCTGGGGAGGGGAGGAATCCACATGGGTTGTGATGGGAACCCCACCACAGCCCACCAACTTTCCGGAGCCTTGTGGCAAGCAGGCCAGCCTCCTTTTGCAGTAGGAAACAAAGGACAAGAGACTTGTTTACAGTCACATAGTTAGGTGAAGCTGGGTTGGAACTCCAGTCTGTTTGATGCCACATCTGTGACTATTTTTATTACCTCTCCTTACTTCCCAATTGAAAAAAAAAAAAAACCCAGGAATTGAAAAGGATGAAATAATCTGAAATGTGCTGTGTTAAGTAATCCACAAGAAAGCTAGTAATACACCAAAAGAATAAACTACAAAACTGGCACTATTCAGAGCTTGGGAGAAACCTGGGTCTGTTACATCCTATTTACATTATTTCTCCAGAGCTCTTTTTACATTTGTACTTCTCTACTTTATGTATTTGTTTATTGGTATAAATTACGTGTCTCTCCCTCCAGAATGCAGCCCCAGTGGGGTAATGCCCTTATTCAAAACAGTGCCTGGTACACAGCAGCTGCTCAGCTGAGTTGAATAAATGATTGCCTTTGCTAATTACTTGTGTGATCCTAGTAGGTATGTTACTTCAGGCGAAATAACTTTAATTTCCTTTTGTAAGTTTAACTTCCTTTTACAAGTATACCAGTGCTATAAAATGCACTGCTCTAATTGTAAAATGTCCAGCACATAGTAGATGCTTAATACTGTGAGTTGATTCTGAAGAGACAGTAGAACATGGAGGCATGACTACAGCTGTCCTCTGCAGAAAAGTGGGCAAGACTGGGCTGGGTTGGATTAGGGCAGGGTGGGAGAGGCAGGCTACTGTGAGCAAGACTGGAGCTGGTCTCTGCTGGGCTAAACTTGGCCTGACTGATTTGGGGTGGGGCTTGGCGGGGCTGAGAGATCCAAGGGGAGTTCAGGCCACTCGTTGCACCTGGAGTCTAAAACCGACATGATGCCAGAGACAGGGCCATACCTGATAGTCAGGTTCTCCATGACCCCAGGGAAGCACTGCAGCTCATCTTGGAGCTCCTTGAAGGTGATGTCGCCACTGCAGTCCTTGTCTGCAGACTCAAAGAGTGCCAGCGTCAGCTGGTCTAGCTTCTCATCCGGCAGGGAGATGGAGCTCTCCTGCAGGCACGACTGGAGAACCGTGCGCAGCTCGTCTGGGTCAATGGAGCCATTCCCTGTCACAAGAGAGGATGAAGCCAAGTGGGGACCTGCTCTGGGACCCCACTCTGACCTGCATACACCCCTGCCCTGCTCAGTCACTGCATACAGTGGTGACCTTTTCCTGTTCATCCACTCAATGTTCCTGCCAACCAATCAGCTTTCTGGGTATAGTCCAGACAAACAAAGAACATGTGTCACCCTCAGCTCACAACCTCTCCATGGCTTTCTAGTGTCAAGCACAACAGAGATAAACCCCTCCCCAAGCATGGAGATTCTTTGGCCTTGATGCGTGTCTGGCTGCAGGATCTGCAGCTTCCTCTTTAAGTACCAGTCAATGTCCAAGACCAACTGTACAAAAGATACACTTGTTTGCTTAATCTATAAGGAGACATGTGGCCAGAGTCTCAACTATCCAGGAGCAAACTGTATGAGGTGATGGTGAGAGGTGAGGTTCCTTTTGCTCCCCAACTGGTGGCAGGCTCTACTCATCCAGGTGTCCTGAGAGGCCATGGCTGGGTACTCAATCCAGCATGTGGCCTTACGTGAACATGAGTGAAGTGATGCGAAACGGAAGTCAAAACTATCAACTGAGATGAGATTTGGGGCATTTTTTTCCCATATATATATTTATTCTTCAAAACAGCAGGACACTCGATTAGCGATTTGTTGGCCAGCTTTGGATACAGACACACATGCAGCAACATGCGTCTACCCCTTTCTACCTGTGTGATGGTGAGCTATAAGTCCTTTAGAGTAGTGAACGTCATTTTGCTCATCTTGAAAGGGGGGGGTAATAAATTCTCCCTTTCAGAATTAATTATGTTCAAGGATTATAAAGTACTTAACACAGTATCTAAAAGGAGGTAGCTGCATATAAATGAAAAGTCTCATTGGCTTTGTGATCATCACTGGGGCCAAAGCAAAAGTCTGTAATCATGTTACAGAGCAGAGTTGAACATCTCTCTCCACCACAGCTCCTCTCCTCCACTTTCCTAGTCAAGAGCATTCATGCAACAGGTTTCAGACTGCACCCAGAGCTCCAGTCCCTCCCCTAATCCCCTTCACACCCTCTCATCCATCCAGCCCTATTCTCTGCTTGGCCATTTGCAAATCCAGAGTCCTCCTTCACAATTATTACCATGTATACCTTCTTCCTTACTCATCTGTTCTTCTATTCCACTGACCCTAAAAATATTCCATCCCTGGGTGAATACAATCATCTGTTCTCTCCTTTCCTGCACCAGGGCAGCTAAGTGAACATTGCTTAAGAAAATCACCCAAGAGGGCAGGAATTGTTTGATCCCCGGCCACAGCAAGATCTGCAACTTGCCTGGAAATCCTCTCCTACTCCTCTGGTAAGGTCACTCTTGGACCACTTCTCACCTCCATGCCCATCCAATCAACCCCTCCCAAGCTCTCATTGAAAATGGAAGCCATTGGAAGGGAATGCCTTCTAGATCTTATCGTAAAACTACAAACCTCCTTACACCTACCCTTCCCTGTCTTTCTCCCCACCCCATCTGCAAGAGGAGGAGTATATTGCTTCCTCCTGTTACAGGCCAATCTCTCCATCTGTAGTCATCAAAAAATCCCAAATGTGAGCAGAGCTTGGTGGTCAGAAAGCAGTCAGTGAAGAGGGTCCCATGATGACTGCAATGGGGTCTGAGGAGGATCCCAAGAAGCAGCATGGCCAACTGCCCATGGAGTGGGCAGGCAGGTCAATTTGAGGAGTAGGTTCCAAGAATGAGGTGTGGCTAGATTGAGTCAGGTGGGAATGGGAGTGAAAGAAACCCCACTGGCCAGAGGGCCTTGCCCACTTGCAAATCCACAGGTAGGTTGAGCTTCTTGGGATGGAAATCCAGCCCTGTGAGTCCTCTGCTCAACAGTCTCTGATGGCTCCCCATTGTTCATTGTAGTGAGACTTCAAACCATGGCCTCCAAGGCCAGCATAGTCTAGTCTCACTCACCATTCCAGTCTCATTGGGTGCCTCTTTCCCATTTCAGCCTCCTTTGTCCTGAAGATTCCAGGCCTTCAGAAACCCTTTAAGCTACAAAGTCACCAAAGATGGAAAAACCAGGATGTGTACTGCAGTGTCATTTATAATTTGGAATGGAATTCTCTGTTTTGGTAATAGGGCTTGAGAAAATAATAATAAATAACAGCTGACACCTATAGAGAGAGTATCCTGTGCTAGGCATTGTTCTGAGTTTAGATAAGCTAACTACTTTAAACCCAGATCAATGAGTATGTAAACCCATACCTCATGAGTATGTAACTGGTGGATCTGAGATTTGAACCTAAGTAACCTGGCTTGAGGGTCAGAGATCTTTACTACTACACTATGCCATATGGAACATAGGGTCACACGTGTATGGTGGAATATGACACAGCTACTAAACTGATGCTGTAACTATACTGATTACCACTTCATACCTACTAGGATGGCTATTATAAAAAAAAAGGGGTGTGATTCCATCCTGCATGTCTGTTCTGAAGAACAAAAGATGTTTATCTCCATCTGCCTTCTCTCCCACCTAAGTGCGTGCTGCCACCCCATGGAAGATGTGATGGACATGGACATGAGCCCTCTGCGGCCCCAGAGCTGTCCTTCCAGGTGCAAACTCAAAGCTAACCAAGATTATCACTTGGAGGTGGATAATGGTGAAAACGAGCACCAATTATCTTTACAAACAGTCAGTTTAGGGACTGGTGCAAAGGATGAACTGCACATTGTTGTAGCAGAGGCCACAAATTGGGAAGGCAGTCCAATTAAAGTAACACTGGTAACTTTGAATATGCCTGTACAGCAAACGGTTTCCCTTGGTGACTTTGAAATAACACCACCTGTGGTCTTGGTTGAAGTGTGGTTTGGGGCCTGTGCGTAGTAGTGGACAGCACTTAGCAGCTGTGGAGGAAGATACAGAGTCAGAAGATGAAGAGGAGGAGGACATGAAACTCCTAAGCATGTCTGGGAAGCGTTTTGCCCCTGAAAGTAGTAGCCAGCTTCCAAAGAAAAAAGTAAAACTTGCTGCTGCAGAGGATGGTGAAGACAACAACGATGAAGAAGATTATGATGATTTTGAGGATGAGGAAGCTGATGAAAAAGCTCCAGTAAAGGAATCTATATGAGATACTCCAGCCAAAAAATGCATGAAAATCAAACTAGAATGGAGAAGACTCAAAACCATCCACACCAAGATCAAAAGGTCAAGAATCCTTCAAAAATCAGGAAAAAACTCCAAAGACACCAAAAGGGCCTAATTCTGTAGAAGACATTAAAGCAACAATGCAAGCAAGTGTAGAAAAAGGTGGTTCGCTTCCCAAAGTGGAAGGTGAGTTCATTAATTATGTGAAGAATTGCTTCCAGATGAGTGACCAAGAGGCCATTCCAGATCACTGGCCGTGGAGGAAGTCTCTTTAAGAAAATGCTTTAAACAGCAGTCTGTTAAAATTTTCCTTCTTGTTTCATTTCCTGGCTGTCCTTTTTATAATGCAGAGTGAGAACTCTCCCTGCTGTGACTGATACAGGTAATTCAGAGTTTCAGTTTGGAAAAACAAAAAGTTCTGGAGACGGATGGTGGTGACAGATGGGCAACAATATGGATGTACTTAATACTGTTGGCCTGTACACTTACAATGGTTAAGGTGGTAAATTAATGTTGTATATATTTACCATGATAAAAAATAACGTTATAAAGCTTTATAGTCTCTTATGAACAAATGTTCATTTTGTTTAGTGATGAAGGCAGTACATATAGTATAGTATTTGTTTAAAAAATGTGTGTGGTACATATGTGTGTGATCAGTTAGAAGACAGTATAGAAAAATGTTATGGGTAATTTTTGCTTTCTTCTTTAAGCCATTTTGTATTGTCTGTAATGTTCACAACAGGCTTGTATAATTATTATTATAAGGAAAAAACAACAGTTTTTTTTTCAAACACAGAAAAAGACAAAGGAAAGTTCTAGTTTCTAGTGAACTGAATTAAGGGCATTTGTCTCCTGGGCCAGAGTCTCCCCTTCTCCCCCACCCCCCATATGTGGGAGGTAGGAACCAGATGGAAAGATGGGGGGAGGGAGACACAACAGCCTCACCTGAGGAAAACTGCCCTGTGTTGGTCACAGCACGGGGACCAGCCGATACCCTTTGTCCCCTTCCACTGATTCCCCCCTTCCCTACAAAGAGCCCTTACCATCAACGTCATACACCTGGAAGAGGAACTTGAGCTTGTCCATGGGGTTGCCATGGATGAGCAGGGTCAGTCCTTCCTGCAGCTCCTGGAGGGTGATGGTGCCACTTCCGTCTGAGTCAAACAGGGTGAAGAATCTCTCAGCAAAGAAGGACTGTGGCCAAGAAGAGTGGAGACAAGCACAAGTATGGACACAGGGCCTGAGCTTTGAATTTATTCGCTCTGTGTGTGTGTGTGTGTGTGTGTGTGTGTGTGCGCGCGCGCGCGCGCACGCCATGGGGTGGTAGAACTCAGGTAGGCTCTAGTTGTCATCCACCCACAAGGCCATACCAGGGTGCAGTGTCCATGGCCCTTCCAGCCTCCTGAGAGCAAGTTTGCGTTCCAGGGGAAGAACCATTCAGAGCCCTGCAGCAAGAATGGACTTGTGTGTGGGGCTCAGGCCCCCTTCTGGCCCCTGGGCCTGGCCATTTGTGTAGGCTCTCTGTCCCTGCATGCCATCACCCCCATCAGCCTTGCAGTCCAGACCTCTAGTCGCCCCTCACTCAAAATGGGAAAAGGGTCAGACATGGGGTCTTCCTGCAGGCTCTCCCAGGTTTTTCCATCCCCTTTGGGGTATACCAGGGATAAGTGAACCCAGGAAGGACTTACAGAGTAGATGTCATTTGTTTTCTCCTTTATGTGTTTGCGCTACTACCTACAGGATACAATGAAGGCTTGTTCTTAAGTGCCAGTTCATTCATTCATTCACTGGACAATCATGTCCTGCAGAGCCCCTGCTTACCAGGCCTGATATTACTCAAAGGCATTGAGTAATGCCTTTATCACTCTCTGTGATGATTACCATCACATCCTGAAATGTCCTTCATCATTAAACATTTACAGCCTCCTATTATGATGGTAATGTGTTGCTAGGCAGAAGGTCTTCTTTTCCCTCTCCATAATTGCAATGGAAGGAGGCAGAGCATTTAAAGTCCTTTGAAGTACCCAGCAAGTGAGGTACCCTCCAATCAAAAGAGGAGCATTCAAATGCCCTTGGGCTGGCCCTTGTCAAGAACAGAGGCCACCAACAGATGGTAGCCCAGAGGACAACTTGGGAGAAGTCATTTGCAGGCTCACTCCTGCTGTTTCTCTCTAATGTCACCACTGTTTGTCAGGCATGCAGGTTGTTGTGGAGATGGGCAGAGGACCCACAAAACCGACAGAGGACTGAGAATGGTGTGGTGGTATGGAAAGCTCATTTCCTGGAGGGAGAACATCAACTTTACCTATAAGGCTAGTGGACATTGTGAGATCAAATCAATAACATTTCTTAGTATTTGACAAGATACTGATTCCCAGCTTCATGTGTTGTTTTGAAGATCATATGATGCATGGCTACCAAGAGGGGTGGAAGGGCCCTTGTAACAGAAACAGAAATACCCTCCAGTTCTGCTTAGAAGTGGGGTCTCAGGCCCAGAGGAAACCCAGAGAACCCAAGGGAAACTTTCACTCCTTGTGAGGCACCATGTCCTGGGAACCAGATCGCTCGTCCTCTATAAATGCAGAGTCCCCACTTCCGGAGTGGACACTTGCCTCTTTCACATTCAGGGCTGTTTTGAATTCTTGCAAGTTGATCACCCGGTCTTCTCCTGCAATGGTCTCAAACTGGCGTGTCACCCACTGAAGCCACTTGGCGTCCTCCTTGGCATTCATGGTGCTGAGAGACAAAGGAGACAGGTTTATGGGTGGGATGGTCTAGCCCTTTATTTGTCTCAGGACCTCTGCCTTCCTCTAACTAGGACCTCAGGCCCCCCATGGGGCTGAGTCACCTTCAGCCATGGAAGAGGAGCCTCCTCACAGGTGTTGCTTTATGTCTTTAAGAACCTGTCTCTTCCTTCCATCCAGCATATCTAGCATCGACTGGCCCAGGCTCGTGCCTCTTTAGATTCTGGAATGATAGAGCTTCAGTGAGAGGATCCCCAGACTGTGGGCATAAGGTCATAGAATGGCACACTCCCAGAGTACTCTTAACATGATGACAACGACCTTTTCACTCAGATTTACACAACTGTGTACTGTGTTTCCAAATACTTCCTATCCACTACTTACTTTGGCCTCTGTGACAATCTGGTGGACGATGACATTTTACAGGAAAGAAATAGGCTCAGAGTAGTTGAATAATTCAGAGAAATTCATTCAGCAGGTGGGAGACAGAGCTCGAAGCCAAGGCCAGTGTTTTTTCCGTCAGACCCCAGAGCCTCCACCCTCTGCTTGAACACTTCCAGTATAAGTCATGCCAGGACCCCTTGACTCTCCAGGTCCAGGGCATCTTCTCCAATACCTGAAGGGTCTCAGCTGTCTAAAACACTCCCAGAAGAGCTAGAACTTCAGAGATCTGAACAGAGGTTAGTGATGCAATGAGGACATCAGGACCCAGCAAACCAAAATGAGGCAGTAAGTGAGGATTTACAGCATCCTGTTGCTATAAATTTTCTTCTGAGAGAATGGCTTTGTCTATATCCCATGAGTTTAGTGTAACCTTAAATGATTTAGTTACAATTGATCCTCATTAGTTGCAGATTCCATATCTGTGAGTTCACCTACTTGGTAAAATTTATTTGTAACCCCCGAATCAATCCTTGCAGCACTTTTGCGGTCATCGTGGACATGGGCAGAGCAGAGAGTAATTTGAGTCTCCAGACGCACACCTTCCCAGCTGAGCTCAAACAAGGCAACATTCTGCCACCTTGTTCTAGTTCTCAGACAGGGAACGAGTGTCTTTTTCATGATCTATTTAGTACTGCATGTGTCACAGTTTTGTGCTTGCTTCTGGTGATTTTGGTCTTTAAAATAGCCCCTTAGAGTTGTGCTAAAGTGCTGCCTAGTGTTCTGTTCCTAAGTGCAAAAAGGCTGGGATGTGCTTTATGGAGAAAACACGTGTTAGGTAAGCTTTATTCAGATAGGAGTTCTAGTGCTGTTGACTGTGAGTTCTATGTTAATGAGTTAACAATTTATATTTTTGAAGGAGTCTTTAAACAGAAACACACATAAAACAAGGTTATATATTGATCGTTGGATGAAAATGTGTGCCCAGATGTTAGCAGGAACCAAAGCCTATATTTTCCCTAGCAGTAATGGTTCAGAATTCTGTACTGTTTGCAGTGACTTTATAGAACATAACTGACATGAAAAACAAGAATTGACTGGACTTGTCAGAGCACACTGTCTAGACTGGACACCGGATTATGAAGTGCACTCCTTCTGGGCCCAGTTTACTTGAGCTTTGCGAGGTCCAGAGGCCCTTACAGGCTCTAGGAAGGCAAAGCTGAGTCTTCAGCCCAGGTCTTTCAGCAATGAATGTTCTCAGCTTTGAAAATGAGAAGTTTTACATGTGACGAAACAAAGACCCCGAGAGGTTTGTTCTCTGTCCAAAAGAACATAGCTTATACAGGGCAGACACAGATACAGACAAATTCCAGGGACCCAGAGCTGAGGAGTTCCCACTGTCAGAACTGGTGCAATGGCACATGAAGAAGTGCCAGTTCAGAAAAGGAGCCACATTGGGCTAAACAATTAGAAAGAGTTTGTATTCCCCTCTGACCGACAGGATCCTAGGCTGGGTGAGCAAAGAAAAGGCTCCTGGTATCACCACAACTAGAGTATTATGATTTTTTAACTCTCCCATGCTTTGTTCTAGCACTTTTTTTTTCCCTAAAATAAAAATGGCTTTGTTTGTTGGGGCTTACTTAAACAATACAGAAAAGTTAATTCAAAAAAAGATTGACTTTATTTATAAATAAAGATTAAAAATAAATGAGCTAACTTCCATTTAAGGAACTAGAAAAAGAATAAAATATACAAATAAAGGAATAGATTATTTAAAAACTAGAAAACTTAAAAAATGGTTCAAGTGATCAATTTATTTTGATTATGACAATGGTTTTACCGATATTTCAAAGAACATTGGTTCTTTGAAAAGACTAAATAAAAAAATCATGATGAAAGAAAAAGAAGTGAAGAAAAAGACAGATTATCACTGATAAAGACAATGAACCCTCAAAATGGAGGGGTACAGAGACATAACAGTACCAAGGGCAAATGTTTGATGAAATTAGAGAAATGAATTAGTTTCAAGAAGTAACAACCTGAACCAACCAATAGTCATTTAAGAAAGTAGAAATGCATTTAAATGTCAGTGAATTAAAATAATGTCTGGCCCACCTTATTTTTATAACTGAGGTCTATCTAATCTTCAAAGAATAAGTCCAATATCAAACCATCTCTGATTATAGAAAATAATGGTAAGATTTCCAATTTATTTTACAAAGATAGAATCACCCAATCCCAATGAAGATTGCATACAAAGGTAATAATAAAAGAGAAAATTCTAGATAAATCTAACTTACATAGATGCAAAACTCAAACTAAAATATAACCAACCTGAATCCTGAAGTCTACTTTAAAAAATAATAATCCACCTGGATCAGGAAAGGCTTACTCCAGTAATATAAGGATAGTCACTATTAAGAAATCTATCGATGACCCTCTGCAGCCCAACAGAGCCATCTACTAAAGAGTAGTGGTCCCCTGCCACCCCCCAAAAAGAAAAAAAAACCCACAAAAAATAAAAAAGAGTATTGGTTCCCAAACCAATACTGATAGATGCCTGTCAGAAACATGGAGAGCTTGCTAAAACACAACCTTTGGGATGAAGCCCAAGAATCTGCACAATTAACCAACACCCTGGGGGGCTTATGACCCATGCTGGGTGGTCCAGGCTTATACCTGGAGAAATGCTGCCCTGAGAGTTAATCAACCCCCACTTTCTTCACCTCTTGGGATCCCACAGGAAAATGTTCCACACAGCAGAGAAAGCTCTAGAAAATTAACTGCGTGCAAGTGCTAACCCAGGGAGGGTGGAGACAGGGTATCTGGTGTTCACCTCCCTCTTCTCAGAAATGTTAGTATGTCAGCCTGTGGAAAGAGAAAGGTAACTCTGGGAAGAGGATAGAGAAGAGGAACAGCTGGCCTTAGGTAGGGGGTGAGGGTATAGGGAGAACAAAGGAGAAAGAAGGCAGCACCAAGGGCGACAAAGTCCTGACGAGGAACTGGGGATCTTCAGAGTCCAGAGCTCCAGGGAATAATGTGTTCACAGAAGCCAGAGCTGACCCCAGGAGACCAAGATTTTAGGTCCAGCATTGCTTTGCACCAATTGAATAACTCACTTCATTGCACTGTAGTTTCCTCAGCTACAAAATGTGACAAGCATTCCTCCAACGGGGGGCTGCCCTGAGAACCAAATGAGATGCTATTTGGGAAAGTACAGCTGGCAAACACTGTACAAATGTTAGCTCTTTTTATTAATCTGACTTGGCCAATTTCTTATTTTACAGATGAGAAAACAGGCCCAGGGAGGACTAGTGACTTAAGCAAGATTGCACAGCTTGTTAGTAACCAGGCAAGAACAGAGCTCAGGTTTCCTGACTTCTGTCCCCAGGCAGACACAGTCACCCTTTGTTGATCCCCCAAAAGGTGAAGAACCCTTGCCTTTCCCTTGTCTCGGGTATGGAAATCTTGATAAATGAGACACTCACCCTGTGCAGCCTTCAGAATCTGCCTGGGCTGGCTTTTCTGGCATGCTCATCCTTTCTCCTGTCTTCTAGACAATACGTGCCAAAGAAGCTGCTGTCCACACAGCAGCCTGTGTGGTGGAGCCCACAGCTCACCTCTCCCCAACTGCTCCTTTGCCGACTTTCTTAAATAGCTGCTCACACCCATAGTCCCTCTGTCATCCATGTAATGAGAAATCCCAACAAGAAAGCCTGTTGCAGGGGTGGGGAAAGATTTTCACTGGGAAGAATGTTGGCTTTCTTTATTCTGGCCCAATATCTTCCACTCTCCCTCTCTCCAGGAGAGGGTGCAGGCAAGAGACCTGGAAATGTACAATGAAAACAATTACCAACAACCTGAGGCAGGCACTGCTCGGTACCAATGAGCTACCTGAGACTTCACTGATAACATCAATTACCAACAAAAACATTAGGTATTAGGCACTTACTCTGAGTTGAGCACTGTGCTAAGGACTTTACATATATTGCACAGTATTGCAGCATTGTCTCCTCTCTGAACCCTCCCCGACACAGAGCCACAGAGCAGTGACATGGGTTGCCTGCCCTGAGATTACCTAAGGTTCTGCCTAACAAAATTTACAGGGTGCACTTTTCTACAATAGGCCACACTGCTAAGACAGGGAGTCAAATCATCTCTACCTAATACACAGAAACAAACACAGAGAGGCTAGCAAATTGAGTAGACAAAGAAATATGGCTCAAATGAAATAACAGAATAAAATTCCAGAAAAAGACCTAAATGAAATGGAGACAAAAAACCTATCAGATGCAGAGTTCAAAATAGTGCTTTATCAGGATGCTCAAAAAACTGAGTACAGCAACAGCATAAAAAAGACCCAGGCAGAAATGAAAGTTATGCTAAGCAAAATAAAGAAAAATCTATAAGAAAACAACAGTGGAGGGGGTGAAGTCAAGAATCAAATCAATGATTTGGAACATAAGGAAGGAAAGCACTCAATCAGAACAGCAAGAAGAAAACAAGAATTCAGAAAAATGAAGATAGACTAAGGAGCCTCTGGGATACTTCAAATGTACCCACATCCAAATCATAGGGATGCCAAGGAGAAGTGGAAGAGCAAGACATTGAAAACCTATTTGAAAAAATAATGAAAGAAAACTTCCCTAATTTGTTGAAGGAAATAGACATACAAGTCCAGAAAGCACAAAGAGTTCCAACCAAGTTGGACTTAGACAGGACCACATCAAGACACATCATAATTAAAATGCCAAAAGTTAAAGATAGAGAATCTTAAAAGCAGCAAGAGAAAAGGAGACAGTTACCTACAAAGGAGTTCCCAGAGGACTCTCAGCTGATTTCTCAAAAGAAACCTTGCAGGCTAGAAGGGACTGGAAAGAAAGGCAAGGACCTATATCCCAGATTACTCTATCCAGCAAAGCTTTCATTTAGAATGGAAGGGCAGATAAAGTGCTTCTCAGATAAGGTCAAGTTAAAGGAGCTCATCATCACCAAGCCCTTATTATATGAAATGTTAAAGGGACTTATCTAAGAAATTGAAGAAAATAAAGAATTATGAACAGTAAAATGACAACAAACTCACAACTATCAACAACTAAACTTAAAAATAACCAACAACAATGAAAACAAATAGTAAGTGAACAACGAGAACAGGAACAGAATCACAGAGAAGTGGACATCACACGGAGGGTTTTCAGTGGGGAGGGGGAGGGGAAGAATGGGAGGAAAGGTACAGGGAATAAGAAGCATAATTGGTAAGCATAAAATAGATGGGGAGAGGTTAAGAATGGTATGGAAAACAGAGAAGTCAAAGAACTTATATGTACAATTCATGAACATGAACTAAGAGTGGGGAGTGCTGCAGGTTTGGGGGGTGCATAGAGGAGGGAGAATAATGGGGGGAAATTGGGAAAACTGTAATAGCATAATCAATAAAATATACTTTAAAATTAGAAAACTGCCTAAAAGTACAAAAGAGGGCTGATTATTTAAAAAATTATAAAAATACCTAAAAGCACAAGAAACAATTGTTCCTTGGTGACTGGACCCACAATATCCTCAAATCTTCATGAATGGGAGCCCCAAGCCACCAAGGTATGGCTCATATTGAACTGAGGGGATTGAGAAGCTGAGTGGAAGCAACCACAAAACTTCTAGAGATGGGCTGAACATGAACACACATGTGCAAGCATGCATACACATATACTATGCAAGATGAGCCAGCAAGCTGGTACTTCAAAAGACCAAAAATAATGAATGCCAGGAAGATAGTCAATCAAATTAATAACAGGGAGAATTTCTTCTGTAAAAAGTGAAGATAATAGACTTTAAGCACATGTATTTAGAATCCTCAAAAAGAGAAATAAAATAAAAATATCCATTTTAAAAAGGATAAGAACTTAAATAAAAATGGGAAGAAATTAAACCAGCCCCAGTTGGTGTTCTAGACATATGGAGAAACATATAGTTTTTAAATTTTTAAAGTAATTCAATAAATAGAATAATTTTTGGACTAGACATAGTTGAAAAGTGTTTGTACAATCCCTAAGATAGTATTCATTGGAATAATTTTGTAAATTTTTTCATTTATCTGTGGGGAGGCTCTGCCCATAGAGTTCTCCCAGCCACCATGGATGAGAATAAGTCTACCAAGACATGATCTGCTTGGGAAGGAAAGGTGGCCAGTCTCTCAAAGGAGAAGGGCCAGGAGCCTGTTCTTCAATGGGCTTTTATTGGGTACAATTTGCACAGGAATACAGGTAAAGGTCATTAATCATTGTCAGGCAGTAAGGATCAAACAACAGATAACATACAAAGAACTCTGAGGGCTTATTCTGAGTCAGGGTCAGTTAGCTGAAGGGCCGTAAAACTTTGGGAAACAAACTCATTTCATGCTTGCACCCTTATCAGAAAATTGAGGACATTCTTAGCAAAGCAGGTTTCACAGGATTTTATGCATTCTTTCTTAGCCCTGAGTGCCCCAGAAGAACCTGCCCTTTTCCAGCACAGGGCCACACCCACCTCCAGCATTGTTTCAGGCTTAAGTCGGGTGGGAGAGGTAAGGCAGCCAAGAGATTAGGAGACTTTTCACAGACAGAATGAGGACTCGGGTTATGTCAAAGCTGAGGGGTGAGGGTCCACCACCCCCTTTTTCTATAGCCCCCTAAGCCTTTCCCCAAGGGCCCCTTCATGACTATGCCTGTCTTAGGTCATCCCTCCCTTGAGGAATCTTACCCATCATTGGCTAACCAGTCATCTGCCTGGGGCCAAGCAGGGTGAAGTAAAAGGTAGCAGAGATGGTGCCCTTGCCAGGGAGATAAGCTTTGTCTCCTTAGTGGCTTATGGTCCCAAGGTCTCTCACTCAGCCTTAGCCATGGGGGGCTTACCACTTCTGAAACCAGACAGGGCAGTTTGCAACACTTACCAACGTATTTTAAGCATTTCTTCATAATATGAAATATGAATGTGCCAAATGTTATAAATTAGTCCTCTATGCTTGGACAGTTTAATTTTCTTTATATTTATTTCATTAACTGTAACTTTCTCAAGTTTGTGAGAAATCTTATGATTAAATCTTTTTTTCAAGTTTCCAGTGGTTTTTCTAGATTGGATTTCCAAAAGAGGAATTACTGAGCCCCAAAAGGACAAATTTTCCTAAGTCTTTCAATATAGTCAAACTATGTCCCCAAAATCTTGAACCAGTTTTCACTTTCACCCTTGTTTGAAGAGAATGCCTGTTTCATGAAACACTTGCAAATAGTAAGGATTGTCTTTTAAAATATTTGTCAATTAGGCTAAAAAAGAAATAATACCTTGCATTTTTATTTGCTTTTATCCCCTCATTTTCTGCATTATTTTCCCCTTCCCTGCTCAATCATCCTTTCTCCAGCTATTGACCAACTTTTCCTTAATAGTAAAATTTCCTGAAAGAGTTATCTAAACTCAGTGTCTACTTCTTCATTTCCTTTTTTTGGTTGAGGGGAAACTTACTCCAATCAGACTTCTATTCCCCAAAGAAACCTTTCTTCATAAGATTACCAGTAACCTCCTCATGGCCAAGTCCAGTGATCACTCTCAGTCATTAGTAGCACTAACAAAGGTGAGAACTCTTTCCTTCTAGATCCTGTCTTTACTTGATTTCCAGGGTCCTGGTTTCCTTTCTAACTCACTGACTCCTCAGTGTACTGATTTACTGATCCTTGGCCCTGAATTGTGTGGCCTAATGTATCCAACTGCTTATTGACCATCTCCACTTGAATATTGATATGCATTTCAAACTCAACATGCTGCAAGCTGGACCCATGGTGTCCTTAACTCTGAACCACCCTTGTGTTCCCATCTCGGTGAATGACCCTTTCCCCATTCACCTAACTTCAGAATCATGAAGTGCTCATCTATTCCTTTCTTCCCCACCTGCCTGACATCCAATCCACAAGCAAATTCTGTTGCTTCTACTTTAGAAATAGATCCAGAATCTTACTGCCTCTCTGCAGCTGTCACCCCAGCCAAAGCCAGAATATTTCACTCACCTGGACTATTCTGACAGCCTCCTAATGCACCTCACTGTTCCACACTTAACCTTTTATAGTCTGTTCTTTATTTAACTGTCCTGGAAATTCTGTTCAAATATAAGTTAGTTGAGATCACTCCTCTACTTAACATCTTTATATGCTTTCTCATCCCACTTAGAATAACCACCAATGCCCCCCATAGTCCCTCCACAACATGGCCCCATGACCATCTAGATGCCCTCATCTCCTGCTCTCCCCTCCAGCAGTCAGGCCTAGCCACACTGGTTCCCTCAGTTTTTCTTGATTATAGCAGGCACACTTCTGCCCCAGGGTCTTTGCACTGGCTATTCCCTCTGCCTGGAATGCTCTCCCCCAAGAGATCTACCTGGCTAACTCCCTCACCTCCTTCAACCTTTTGCTTGTCTCATGCCTTCTCAATGAAGTCTGCCCAGAGCACCGTATTTTAAAATTGGGTCTCACCTCACCCCAAACTACTGATCCCTCTTACCCTGCTTTCCTTTCTTCTTTCCAGACAGGAATCATCTTCTAACATGCTATATCATGTACTTCTTTATTACATTTATTGTTCTATATCTGCCTCCTCCCCT